AACATTCCACTGTGAAATAGCTTACTGTCCTGTGCATTCTTAACCTCGCCCTCATTATAACGTTCCACTGTGAAATAGCTTACTGTCCTGTGGATTCTTAACCTCGCCCTCATTATAACATTCCACTGTGAAATAGCTTACTGTCCTGTGGATTCTTAACCTCGCCCTCATTATAACATTTCACTGTGAAATAGCCTACTGTCCTGTAGATTCTTAACCTCGCCCTCATTATAACATTCCACTGTGAAATAGCCTACTGTCCTGTGGATTCTTAACCTCGCCCTCATTATAACATTACACTGTAAAATAGCCTACTGTCCTGTAGATTCTTAACCTCGCCCTCATTATAACATTACACTGTGAAATAGCTTACTGTCCTGTGCATTCTTAACCTCGCCCTTAGGGTTAAGAATCCACAGGACAGTAGGCTATTTCACAGTGGAATGTTATAAGTCCTCATTATAACATTTCACTGTGAAATAGCCTATTGTCCTGTGGATTCTTAACCTCGCCCTCATTATAACATTCCACTGTGAAATACTGGCTACGGGTTTTTATACGACTCGTAAATTGTTTTAATTACATAAAACATGTATGATATGATAATAATAAATGTACACAAAACTAACATTTTATTTTAAATGAAATACTTGCATGGTTTAAAAACGCACAGAAGTGATGTACATCCGTAGCACTAACAGGGAGGTTAGAAAACACAGAAAAATAAGGCCTCAGAAATCTCCTCGAATTAAAGAGTTTGAAATGGCAAGAATAAAGTTTTTTTTTTTAATTATTTAAAGATCCCGAATTCTTGCAAGGCCTAAGACGAGTTCTTACCTTTATGATAATGAATAATCACTTTTTTCGGCTGTTCATTTCCCTGATTCTTCAACGTATTAGAACGGGAATCGGTGTGAACAATTTCTCTTAAAAATTCTATGTACCCGATAGCTAGCCTCAGAGTATCCACTTTGGACAGACGTTTTTCATAAGGTAATGTAGGGATGTGGGCTCGAAGACCTTCAAAAGCGTCATTGATGCTCTGCATCCTTCTCCGTTCTCGCTGATTCGCTGTTTGTCGTTGTTGATGTTTCTGTTGGTGACTCTTTTTCCGACGTTTCCTGTGTTCGTGGAAATTTTCCTGATCGGAATGTTGAGCATGGAGAGTCATGGACTCCATGGATACGTTATTACTGGAGTAACCATTCTGAATATTGAAATGGTTCATTTGTTGGTAGTCTAAGAATTGTTGACTGACGTTTGTGAGATTAATGTTTTCCATGTTCTAAGTTGCTCTCTGTGACACAGCCTTCCAGAGATACGTTTGTGGTATGGTGGCGTTTATGACTCCTTTTCTGTAGTCCGAAAAGTATGGCAGAACATCATGGGAAAATGTTGTGTTGAACACCACCTGTCGTCACCTGCTAACCGATATGCACGAACATTATTGGCTGTTGGAGGCCCCGCCTTTCATTCCGATGAATACCAATAGTTGCAATAGTTGCATTATTGATTGAAGGAACTAAAATGGCTTCTAATAGCTTAACCGAGATGACTCGAGCTCACCTGGGTTTAATTATTTTAAAAATTTAGTTATAAAAGTAAATGTGGCGCGACACCTACGAGTTTTTTTTCCCCCACGATTCTAAATCACATTTCAAAAGTTATTTAAAAAATTAACTATTCAAAATGTTTGCTTTCATAGCTAAAAATAAACGAACAATTGAAGGACATTTGATCATTTGTAAACGTGTTCTTGATTTTCTGTGTCCTCACTCCGGGTTATAAGTAGTATCGTGTTGTACGTGGTACGGTGAGTCAGTAGTAAATTTACGGATTTACAACGTTGAAATTCGGGGTTCGATTCCAGTGGTGGAGAGAGTGCAAACTTAAACTAATTAATATGAGAGTTGATTGATCAACTAAATCAACTAAAGAATCAACTAAAGAGCAAATGTTCTTACTGAGATAAAAATTGAACATTTCAATCTACCCCACGGTCACGTTAAAGATCTCTAGGACTCAAGCCCTGGAAGATAGCAGGACCCGCCATCACTAGGCCTTTTTTCCCGTCTGTTTGGACAGAATAATGGGATTGATTGCTGCTTGTATAACATGTTTGAACGTGTTTAGTGACATCGCGTCTCGAATCCCGGACCTACTGAGTCGCCTCGGGTTTTATCAGGACAAGAATTTGTTCTTCTATAACTGTTTTGGATGTTTTTACAAATATACAACCGTCCATAACTCTTACAGGTCAGTAGAAAATATGAGTATTTTTAAACAGGTGGCGCTACAAACGCCCATGTGGTATATTGTCCCATGTGAGCTGTTACGTTTCTTTATGAAAAATGAAATCCAAGCTTGATCCAACTTTATATTGGCCAGCTTTAAGAATAAATGTGGTTATATCATTATGTCTCCGCGGAGAGACGTGTTCTTTCTTTCTTATTCCAAACACCTTTCAATCAACCGCCATTTCTCGGCGGATTAACTTGAAACTTGGAAATGTTATACCCTGGTCCAATACGCCCAGACACACATTTCGTTTTTGTTTTTTTAGGCCTTTCTAAGGATTTTATGGGATCAAAAGTCAAACAACCCAAAAAATGTATATTTTGGGTTCCTGTGCGGTCATATTTACAACAATCAAGATGAAAATTGGTACAAATATAAATGTTCATGCGCCAAACTCTTTTTTAGGGGGGGGGTCAGAGCTCACAATTTTGGGGGTTTTGGTTAATTACTCTGCCGTATATTGACCGATTTACATGGAATTCGGTACAAAGATACTTTTCCACACATTGACAAACAAAAATGGTGGACTTGCCCGTTTGTCGTAATGCCACAAAAAACAAAATTTTATGATTTTTTTTTAGAATTACTTCGCCGTATTTCGGCCAGTTTACATGGGAATTGGTACAAAGGTACTTTTTTTTAGAGGTCTCATACGTATGCATACAAAAATGTGGGATATACCCATTTTTGGTTATTTTAGAGGGGTCAAAAGGTTAAATAAATCTATAACTTAAAGGGTTTTGGTCAATTACTTAGTATTGTTTCGACAAATTTACATGGAATTTGGTACAAAGTTACTCTTCGCTGGTCCCAAACAGTGAAATAGACAATTTAGGAATTTTTGTCTTTGGCTCAACTTTTCAGTGAGGAAAACGCAATTTGGGGTTTTCGTGAACTATTCGTTTGTTTGTCAACCAATTTACGTGGGATTTGCTACAAAAATACCTTATTGCAGGTTTCAAACAGTGATGTAGACAGTTTTCGATTTTTTTGTGTTTTCCACAATTTTTCTGGAGTCAAAATTGGCCATGTTGGGATTGTGTGGCGGAGACATGTTGCATTCACTCGCGAATGTTGGCCTTCTTAATTTTACCAAATTTTGTGAGTGTGCGTGTATCCGTTTATATCTGCCGAAAAGCTGGACCGATTGTCACCAAACTTGACAAGTACCCTTAGGGCATCCGGAGAGTGACACAGGTGGGTCAGCATTTGGATATGACACCCATTTCATCTCGTCTTTTCTGGGTAAATCAGCAAGTAAAATATAAATATTCACCTACCCTAACATACATCAATATAGATCACATGCATACCTGAACATGTTTTATTTTTCTGTGCGTTTTTACTCCTACTACATATCTAAACGTGAACACACAATCTAAGTATAGAAAACAGTAACTAAAACACTCTTCAATTCAATACCCCTTTATTATAACCCTTACACTCTTCAATTCAATACCCCTTTATTATAACCCTTACAC